GCAGGGGGTTCAGGCTTAGGAACCTCAAGATCATGTCCTGAGCTGAGAGAGATTAAGAGTTGGACGCTTAACCAACAGAGCCAGCCGGGGGCCCCAGTAGACACATATTTTTAAAAATTCAGCTTCTAACGGTGCATTTTATGTGTTTGAAAGCCATTCATATTCTGATCAGTGAAGAAAGCAGCTCTAGGCCTTTAATTAACGGAGCTTGTAGGCTTTCAAGGTGAAGAGGGCCTTTCCTTACTAATGGGATTGGATGCTCTACCCCGTGGTGCTTAAGCCTGTGGACACGGTGGGGGAGGTCCCCTGGCTCAGAGCGATTCCAGGGCCTTGGCCAGGCATCATTCAGGCAGATCGGTTCCTCACTGAGGTGACAGTCTCTCCGTGTACATGTTTTCTTAGTCACACATGTTGTCATGAAATCACGCCTCATTGGAACTCTTTGAGTTCCGGTCAGCAGGGAAGGGAACGTTTGGAAATTTTAAGGGAATAACACTATTTGTGGCTCTTTCCATCAATACCCTGGTGCGGCCTGCCATGTCACAGCTCTGCCCTTACAGGAGAACAATGGCCGTGAGTGTGCCTGGTTCTAGCTTTGTTTATTAAGCAGACAAAGGCAGAGACCTCACAAATGAATCAGCTTGGGTTACTGACTCTGCTGGTCAGAGTGGCAAATAGAACGGGGGGTCCAAGCTTTCTGCAGGTCTCGGGGTGTCATTACAAGGGTTTTAAGCTGTCAAAAACCAGCTGAGCGCCCAGCTTCGCAGGATCCTGAGGACAACAAAGGGAAATCCAGTGCATGCTCACCGTCTTCTCCCGCAGGAAATTCTCAACAACGCTTTTAAAGTCATTTTAACAGATTCCCATCCCTCTCGGCACAATTACTGTCAGGACGTCAAAGGAATGAATTTAATCATGTTTTGATAGCAAAGACGGTGTGCTTTTCTTCCTCTGATCTCTGACATTCTCCTTCTTTTTCTGTCCTTGGAAAGGTGTTCATAAGCCGGCGATGGTAGAGGCTCAGATCTTTCAAAGTTAGGGGAATTTGGAAACATAGGTGTCGTTGAGGGAGGAGTCCTTTGTTTTTCTCTCTGGCGATCATGTTAATGAGCACCAGTGCGCACGGACGTGGGTGGTTAGGTGGTGGAGACATCACAGGAACATGATCATGCAGGCGAGACTCATGGGCTGACTCTAGCTGAATGTCTTGACTTCAAATTCTGTACCAAATTCTGTACCACTAACAGCATACATGACCTAGTCACCACTGGTATAGCCTTTACTGTAGCCCTTTCCCATGGTGGCAGTTTCTCTCCTGTAGGCTGCAAAGAAAAAATGGATTTCTTTTTCTTTCTTTCTTTCTTTTTTGTATTTACCAGATTTTTAAATTATTTTTTTAATGTAATGTATTGTCACGTTGGCTAATGCACAGCGTATATGGTGTGCTCTTGGTTGTGGGGGTAGATTCCCGTGATTCCCAGTGCTCATCCCAACAAGTGCTCTCCTCAATGCCCATCACCCATTCCCCCCCCCATCAACCCTCAGTTTATTGCCTCCCTCTCTGTTTGAAACTGTTGTTTCATAAATTATTTTGAAGTTAGATTCTTCAAATGAATAAAAGAGTATGGTATTTCAGAGATGCCCTGGGAGTCCCTCGTGGGAAGATTTCTGAGCAAATAGACTGGATCATCATCCCAAAAGGATTTAGGGTGAGTTTTGGTGACTGTGCCTGTCCAGTGATTTAAAGGGCTTTTGGTTAGTGTGTTAGAGGATGCTCTAACAGCACAGTTCCTGATTAGGCTGATACTATATCCTTGTATTCTCATCAGCTTAATGCTTGGCAAAGCCCTTGTTTCCTGTGATATGAAATCTAAATATTTAATTGTCTACTCGGAACTACTGAAATATCCTTTACAGGAAGGAAATCTTTAAAAATCATGTAAATATTGTAAGCAGAAAAAGAGAAAAGGAAACTAAAGCTGTATATAGCAAGATTCCCTTAGCAGCTGGCAGAGAAATTCATTTTACACTGGGCCTGCCGGCTCCTTTGTCTTTTGCTATCGTATGGCTGTGGCCGACTTTTACAAAAGTAGAGTATGGTCTGATTTCTTCATTACTCCGTGTTAGGATGGCCTGAGAAAACTCCACGTTTAAAATATACTGATTTTTTTTTTTTCCCTCTCTCTCAAACGTGCTCGCCCAGCACGGTGCCCAAACCTGATGATCTGCCTGTTGTAGATAGAGCGTTGACTCTTAACGTCAGTCAATGAAAAGTGTGATTCCGAGGACAGGCTAATTTGAGATTCATCGGTTCATTCAAAATAACAAAGTCCAATCAAACCGTACAGACAAAACGTAACAGTGTAACACAATACCGCCGTCCCTGAGCAGGAAGACAGGAGCCGAGGGGGCCCGCAGGACCAGGGCTGAGAGACACATGATCAAAGGGAGTGTGAGCCTGTGTTTGGATGTACGTCAACACTGCCACTCCCAGGGCCGTGACCTTCCTCATTCATCAATATCGAGAAAGGGCCCTCTCTGCTCAAGAGGAATGTG